TTTTGTTGCCAGTTCAGTGGGTCTGGGTGGTTGAGTATCAGAGTGTTCCATCTCATTTCCCTTTGGGGTTGCTGTAGGTGATCTGAAAGTCTAGTTTTGAGACTTATTTATGTGTTTTCTCATTTCAACTGGGGTGGGGGCTGTTTCTGCCTGCAAGGATTACATCTTCTGAGCTAGGAAAGGTGGGACAGAGGCCGGGAGCAGCGGTAGGGATGGTGGCCCAAAAGCCCTTTCTTGTGGGCTGGGAGTAGCAGGAGGGATGGTGGCTGGGAAGCCCCTTCCTCTGAGCCAGGAGTGACGGGACAGAAGGTGGCCCAAAAGCCCTATCCTCTGGGCTGGGAGCAGCGGGAGGGATGGTGGCCTTGAAGCCCCTTCCTCTGGACCAGGAGCAGTGGGGCGGCGGCTCAGAAGCCCCTACCTCTGGGCCGGGAGCAGCGGACTCAGTACTGTGGTCTGGTGGTCCAGTAACCTCTGGGTCAACCAGGTGGCTGTACAGAGGAGCAGGGGTGGGGGTCCAGTGGATTGTTGCCGGGGGGTGGGCTGATTCTGCGTGTTCTGTGCGACTCAGGACCTCTGTAGGGCGTGCACCTATAGAGTCTTATTTAAAGATATAATCTTCATACAATCAAAACAGTAAGATATCATCATTCTCAATTAATAAAACAAGAGTCTACATCAATCAATTGAAAGTTTTAGGGGATTTGAACCCTGTCCTCTTTGCTTCCAAGAGCTTTTTTTGCACAACAGCCCAATATCTCACCATGAGTACCATAGTCTGCTATTTATAGGCTTGGTGGCTGAGCACTTCAAATCCCTATTCTTTCCTTCCTTTTCAAACTAGTATCAGTAGTGTTGGAAGTAACATCTTGAGATGTAAAACTTAGTTTCTATGATTATTTCCCCTAAAAAGAGCCCTAAAATTTGGGTTATTGTTTTAAAGGCAGAAACACTTTTAAGGCTATTTGTACATATTGTCAATTTATCATTTCAGTGGAGCTGTTTAAATCATTATTAAATCAGCAGAGCATGAGGTTGCAAGCATCATTATGCCCTTTATAAAAATATTGGTTCAGGCCAAGGATTTAGCTCAGTAGCACTGCACCTGCCTTGCAAGCGTAAGGTCCTGAGTTCGATCCCGGTACCAAAAATAAATAAATAAAAATAAAAATATTGGTTCACTTAACAGATGATAAGTGATTCTTGGTTGTTAACATTTACTTGTTAGTTTACTTTTAATTGCTATAACTCACTTTGTTTAAATACATCAATTCTCCATTCTACAGAGTGAACCTCACACAAAAAATGGCTAAATCTTGAATTAGGAATGAAGGTGGGGGTAAGGGTGATCCGTAGACCTTTTTTTCCCTTAATTTACTCAGTAGTCATCCAGCTCTATCTCTAGGGCAGGCATCATCAGATGAAAGTCCACCCCGACCCCAAAGAGTTTGTGGACTAGCAAGAGAGAAAGACATGCTGGGCATGGTGGCATATGCCTCTAATCCCATCTACTCAGGAGACTGAGGCAGGAGAATCACAAATTTGAGGCAAGCCTGGGCAACTTAGGGAGATCCTGTTTTAGAGTTTTAAAAAGGACTGGGGATGTAGCTCAGTGGTTGAGTGCCCCTGGGTTCGATCACAAATACTAACATAAAACTAAATAAATAAATAGACAGACAGACAATAACAGGACAGATTTGTCAGTACTGTGACCAAAGTAATAAGAGGAACATGCTTTGGAAAGCAAAGAGGAAGGTATCTCAACCTGCTTCAAGTAGTTCCTGAAAGCCTTTTTGAGATGCTGAGGTCTGAGCTCCATATTGAAATGAAGCAAAATGAAGCTTTTCCATGGCATCCCAAGTATAATTAATCACTTTTTAATCCATGTTTTTATTACAGGACTTACAGCAGTGTGTTGTACTTATTTGTTTCCATGTCTCTCCCTCTGAGCTGAACTTCACCTTGACCCTAATTGGCCTAGTACAACACCCAAAAAAGTAATAGAAATGCAATGGACATTTGTTGCATTATTTTGAAATTCTAGCCACAATGCTATTTCCTCTTATACCTTCCTCTTCACATCTATATATCTATATCTATCTTTATATAGAATTTTTCCTTTTGGTTGTAAAAGTAGTACTGTTCACCACACCCAATAGAAAGGCCAAAAAGGAAAGGATGGAAACTATCAAGTGTTGTGAAGTATATGGAATAACAGAAATGTTCATCCACTGCTGGAAGCAGTAAGAATTGGTAAAATCACTTTGGGAAACTGGTGAAAACTCTGACCCAGCAATTCCACTTCCAGAATACATTCAACATAAGTGAATGCACATGCTCACCAAGAGAAGCTTCTTTTCACCAGAAGAAGCACTGTTCATAACTGTTCCTGACTAAAAAACACACAAATGTGCATCAACAATAGAAAAACTTATTTTGGTACCATCACACACAGCAAGGAAAAAGAATCAAAATTCAACAATATGAAGGAATTTCATGAAAATAATGTTGAGGAGAAAGAACCAGTTTTGGGAGGTTTTTTACCAAAAACTTCTTACTGCGTGATTATTTTAATATAAAGACAGGCAAAACTACTATGCTATTAGAGACTGAAAGGGAATAGGAAGAGGGAGCTTCTGGGGATGCTGGTAAGGCTGTGTCTCTTGCTCTGGATACTGGTTCATTGTTTGTGTCCTCTGTTTATTACATTTAAATGGTTTTGTTTTTCGTGGTTTTTTTATTCTTTGCAGTATTGGGGATTGAACCCAGGGCCTCCGCACTGAAATATACTCCCGGCCCCTTTAAAAATGTTTCTATTTGGGGGCCGGGGATTTAGCTCAGCGGTTCCACCGCCTGCCTCGCAAGCTAAGGACCCGAGTTCGATCCCCGATACCAAAAAAAAAAAAAAAAAGAAGTTTCTATGAGATAGGTTCTCACTAAGTCTCTAAATTGCCCACAATGGATTCAAACTTGGTGATACTCCTGCCTCAGCCTCCCAGAATGTTGAGATTACTGGTGTGTGCCACCATACGCAGGTGCTTTAATGGGTTTTGGGGGGTTGTTTTGTTTTGTTTTTTTGGTACCGGGGATCGAACTCGGGTCCTTCCGCTTGCGAGGCAGGCTGCGGAACCACTGAGCTAAATCCCCGGCTCTTTAATGGCTTTTTTTTAAAAGGCTAATATATCTTAATTTAGAGAAAGCTAGAAAACAAAGATATTTTAAAAGTGATCACCCACAATCCAACTGAGATAACTGTTAACATTTTGGATTATTTCTGTCCAGTCTTTTTTTGAAGCCAGTATTCTACGAATATATTCTGTATTTCTCTCCTGAAAGGTTGCACTGATTTACTGTCCCACTAGCCAGGTGTGCGGGCCCCTTGTAGTGCATTCCAACCCCAGATGGCTTATTATTATTTCTGACTCGTTTTAAGACTGTGGGGCTGAAAGCAAGACTAAGGGGCTCAGGCTCAGACACGCTTAGTCTCTGCAAAAGGGCCTGGATGCCAGGCGCGGGCTCCCGACCAGACGCGCGCGCGCCCGCGTCCCGCCGTGCCTCGAGCCGCCGGGTTGCCTTGGGAACCGCAGAGCGAGGCAGCGCCAGAAGATCTGCGAGTGTGTGGAGGTAGACTGAGTCCCAGGCATGGAGCTGCCGGATCCATTACGCCAGCGGCTGGGAAACTTTAGCCAGACGGTGTTCCGTGACTCCAGCCGGACCGAGCTGGAGTACGATGAGGATGCGGGTGAGTGGCCGAGGTCCGGTGCAGAGTGTGATCGGCGCGGGTTTTGGAGCCGCTAGCTTTTGCCCAGACTAAAAATGGCGGCGTCGCCTTCAGGTGGTTCTCTGCATTGCTGGGAGTTCCTTGGGGGAGGGGCTGGCCCGGGGGGCCGAAGCTGGGGCCCCTTCAGGCTCTGATCTCAGCCTAGCCTGGTCCTGTGCCACCTGGCCAGCACATTGCAAACGCTGCAGCTCAGGTGGTGCCAAACTGCGCCCCGTGAGGCCCAGTGCTGACTTAGAGGCCACTCAAATAAAATATTTAAAATTCTGCGCAGCACACCCATCCGTGAAGGCCGTTGTTGATTTTCCTTTTTGTCGCCCGCCCTAGCTTTCCCGACTAGGATTGAAGGAACAGCCAACCCCGTCTCGAGGCCTCATCCCCTACCCTGTGAAATTGCTTTCCCTTTTCTCTTTGCCTCGCAGAAGTATGTTTCTCCTGAAGCCATTTTCCAACAGAAGAAATGGGGAAAAGTTTTCAAATAAGTCATAGTAAACTGATATCCATTCAAGTGGTATCTGCCAAACACTACCTCTTCCCTGCCTTCTCCCCTATGTAAACCTTCCCCTAATCTGGTAACAGGGTACCACGATGTAAGGCTGCTGCGTCTAACGTGATGGACAAGTGATGACGCAGTTCGTTGCAAAGCAGTTTCTGCCTCCTGAATCATGAGCCAGCATACTGTCAACCAGACCCATGTAGTTTTCATCATTGACCTCTACGTTGGAATGGAAATCTTTTCCTCCACCTGTTTTAAATTTAAAATGAAGGGCACATAGTGGCGGAGACAAGCAGTCAGTTCCTATAGTTGTATTTTGTCACCTTGATCATTTGCCTATTCTCCAAATGTAGGCCTTTTTATAATTTAGGATGTGCAGAGAAGAACGTGAAAAATTGAGTTTTCACATTTTTGAGGGTGAGACTTAACAGGCACTAAAATCTTACGAAACAGTATTAGGGGTCAGCAGACCTTTACTGAAAAGGACCACATAATAAATATTTTAGACTTTGGAAGCCGGATGGTCTCTGTAGCAGCTATAGACAATAGTAATTTCGTAGGGATGGCTGTATACCAGTAAAACTGTATAGACAGTGAAATTTGAATTTCCACATGGTTGTTTTCACATGTCACAGAATATTTTTTTTAACCGTTTAAACACAAACATTTTTAGGTCACCAACTGTACAAAAATAGACAGTTGGTCAGCAATTGGCCTACCCCTCTTTATATTATATAATGCTTTAAGTTCTGTTTACAGAACTGAACTTAAACTTTTGCAAAATACAATGAATTTGTGCCTGCAAATTTCATTTATATATTAACTTGATTTTCAACTGCATGATATAAATTTGATCTGCTGAAATAATGGACATGGCACAACTTTTATCATGTTCATGTAAAAATTTCTAACATTTAAAAGTGATCTTTGCAAAATTTTGACTATACTTCCTGCTCCAAAGGTAATAAAATTTACAGCTTAATCAATTATTTTTCTACATTCTCTTCTTTGAAATGAAATAGTAGTCATTATTTATACTGTAAAAACAAGTTTATTTTCAGGTCCATAGCTGACCAAGTATTGTACTGTTATGGAAAAAATACTAGGCTGGTGAGTTTCTTCAGATTTAATAGGTTTTAAGACTCTTCTTTTTTAGTGGCAATTTAATAAATTGGTATGAGCAAAAAAAGGTCATAATAGTCAAGCATATTCTTGGAGCTAAAGGAAATCATTTTTCTGTAGGACACCATGATTATTTCTTACATTTAGAAATTATTAAATGATAGATTAAATAGTAAACTATGGAGAAAAAAATTAATGTTTTTAGGAAATTTACATTAGAGCCTTTGTAAAATCTTAAATTTAGAGCAGTTCATTTCAAAATATATATCTGCTCTTAAGAATTCAAATTTAGGTCCAGGGATTTAGCTCAGTGGCACCACGCCTGCCTCATAAGTGCAAGGTCCTGAGTTTGATCCCCTGTACCAAAAAAAAAAAAAAGAAAATTAAAAAAGAATTCAAATTTAGAATGTATTTTGTAGGGCTCAATTCTAAAAATCAAATTCTTAGTTTAGATCCCTTCTCTCTGGTTGGTTTTTTTTTTGGTTAGTTTTATTGGTACATTTTAGGTATACAATATGATGACATTCATCATTGAGAATTTGTACCCTTACATGATATATCTTGGTCTTATTTTATTCCCATTCCCCTGCCCTCCCTTCAACCCCTCCATCCCTCCCTATTTACAAAGACTTTCTTTCCATTTTTTCTTTTTCTCGCATTTATTCCCTTCCCTTCTTTCCTTTCCTCTACCCCTCCCACTTCCCCTTTGCCCCTTTTCTTCCTATTTCACATTATCTATTATACATTTTGATCCTTATTTACACTTTCAGTTTCTTACACCAAAGAAACTATTCAGTGTTTACACATGTGTGTCCTATTTATTTCACTTAAGAGTATGTAGGCCCTTTCTCTTACAAGAAAGCAAAAGATACTATGTGATCAACCTTAAATAAATATAACTCATCTATCACAAATGTCTATGCTTTTGATATCCTTATGGCAGTATACTTTCATCAATTAATTCTTTCTGCTTATTCATCTTTCGTATTCACAATGTGTAAAGCAAGATGTTAGGTTCTATGAAGGTCTCAAATCTGGGTTGGACATGGTCTTTGCTTATAATGAGATTGTATATGAGGTATGATAAAAAAATATGGTCAATGTTTAAATTTTTTTAAATTATGACAGTAAAAGACACATTGCCATTAATCCTTTTTAAAAATAATCCCCCTCGCTTCAAATGCATAGTTCTTGCTACTTTCTGAAGCAGAATACGAAACATATCCCCAGGTAACCATTATCTGAACTAAATAATATTAGGATGAATCTTCACTATCAATAATTATAAATAGGCTTTAAAATTTGGGGTTGTGTTGAACTAATAATAGTTATTAATTCTCAAAATGAAAGGATTTTAAGGACTTCTACTATGATTAAGAGTTCATTTCTTTTCTATTTCTTCTGTAGATAATGAAGTGAGCTCCAGTATGGGCCTGCAGATGTCACTTTATTTTAATACTTACTTTTTCCCACTTTGGTGGGTAGGCTCCATTCTGATGCTTCATGTGAAGGTAAGTCTATGTTTTATTATTGCTGAGGCCTCTTATGGCCTTCCCTAACATTGTTAAATTGTTAATAAAATTAACAGTTCTTAAAAATTGTTTTTCTACCAGGTCAGTACACTATATGTAAGATTTTACAAACATGGTTTGTTTTTTGTTTTTAGTATTCATTCTTGCCTGATTACTACAAATTCATTGTGATCACTATTATTGTCCTTGTAACCCTAATTGAAGCTATCCGGTTGTACCTGGGCTACATGGGTAACCTACAGGAGAAGGTAGGTTCTGCTTCCCTTTATCCCAGTGCTACACATAAATGCCTTTCCAGGATAGTGTGAGGCAGTGAGTCATGGAAAGAGCACAGGCCTCTTTAACCCCTTGCTCCAAATTGACCACTTAATCTCTGCTTAATATCATCTGCTTCTTGTTCTTCATACAAAAACTAATCTATAAAATGAGGAAAATAGTACTTATTCCAAACATTTGTTGAGATAAAGTGAAATGATGTATGTAAAGTACCTGAAGTACTCACTATTAAGCACTTAAGAATTGATAGTTTCCCTCTTCTCATCAGTATTAAAAAAAAATTGGTCAATTTAACTTGTCTGTTTGGATCCTGAATAAGCAAAGAGGGAAATTATAAATTCATTTCCTCTGCCAGACCCATGTTTTCTGAATCATCATGCTGCCTAAGCATTTACAGTTACCAAGGCGTTGGGATAATTCTGTGGTTGTCTAGGCCCTTCATAATTAGGCCACACCTAGCATATCAAACTGTACTTCTTGCCATTTCTTAATCTACTCCAGACTTATGTGTTGATTCCAAATCATGCTTTTACCTGTTTGCTTATTTACCTTCTTCCTTATTCCTCCCTGTGAACAATTTTATAAAAACCTATATACATTCTTGAAATCTTTCACCTTATTTCTTGTACCACTTAGTTTATACCTCTTAAGTGTTGCATTTAATTATTCACCAGAGTATACTATTATAGGATTGATTCACACAAAGTTAATTTTCTTATCTAGGTAAAATATTCTCTAAGGACAAGGACCATGTCATACTCCTTTTGAAGTACAGAACTCATACGATAGGTTAACAGCAGTATTTAGTATTTATTTATGTGTATAAACTAAAACTCTATTTTACTGATCTCATTACTGTCTTTTAGGAAGAGTAGGATCAAAGGGGGCTCACACATGCCAGGCAAGTGTTCTACCACTGAGTCATAGCCCTAGCCCTGATCTCAGTACTTTTGATGTTCATTACAGGTTCCTGAGCTGGCAGGATTTTGGCTTTTGAGCCTTTTGCTGCAGTTGCCTTTAATTCTTTTCTTGCTGTTAAGTGAAGGCCTAGCAACTCTGCCCTTGGAAAAGGCAATGCATATCATCTTCACTATCTTCCTTACTTTCCAAGTTATTTTAGCATTTTATACCTTGAAGAAAATGGTCAATCAGTTGGCAGCTCGTTTCCACCTCCAGGACTTTGACCCGCTCTCTGCAAACAGAGGAGACATGAGAAGGATGAGGTCATGTATAGAAGAGATTTAATCCAGTGCTGTTAAGAGAAAATCTGAAAGATTTTAAAAGACTGTAAAAGTTAGGAAACATCAGAGATGTTTAGCATGAGAAAAAGGACAAAGAAAGTGTTTTGAACTGTATACTCTCTAGCTCTGAAATTCCCAGGTTGGGGGGCAATAATAAAGCTTATATATTACATGAAAGCAGTATATTAACCCTAAAACCTACATGCTGTCCACCTGACACTAAATTTCTTTTTTTTTTTTAATGTAGAATTTTCCAAATATATAGACATCTATTAGTAGTTGTGTTTTATCAGTTTTACTGTAATATTTAAAAATAAAGTTGTTTCTGCTTGTAACTAGAAATGTATGTATTTCTTGTAAATTTGTTATTTGTATCTTGTGGCTATATATCTGACCATGTTTCTTGAAATACATAGAAATGCTAGTCCCTGGGGGTTTTAGCTCAGTGGTAGAATAGTTGCCTAGCATGCATAAGGCCCTAAGTCCAATCCCCAGTGCTGCTAAAACAAACCAAAAACAGAAATGCTAGCCAACATTTTTGTGTATTAGACTATATTTATAAGCAAAAGATCAAATTTGCATGTCTGTTAAGGTAAAATTCTAACCCTAGTATTTGTTAGCTATTATATTGAAGTAAAGAAGATGGATTATCATGATATTTAGGGAATATTTTGTCATAAAAATTGTAACTTTTATAAAACCATGTTCAGTATTTGTTGTGGTGATGTGCAAAATGCTTTTATAATCTATTTGTGTTAATAAAGTATTAGCAATAGATTATTCCTGTCATGTGTAGTTCTGTTGTCTTTTGTCTTACACAGTTGCAAGAGAAAGAAGGAGAAAAAATTATCAGCAAGACTTCTATGTAGCAGGCACTGTAGTAGGCACTTTAAATTAACCCTTGTGATTACATCTACTAGATCATTGTTCGCTGAAGAACTGCTGCATGCCCATTAAATTCACATGAGGCTTGATTTGAAAATCAAGGTGTCTATTAACAAAATGAGAGCTAAAATAGCCAAAGGGACCATACTCATGATTCTAAATGAGCATGTTGCCTTCAAATACAAGTCTATGTAAGGAAATGTAGTTGTTGGGCTATATCTAAACATCATTTTTAAGTGATTATTGGATTGACTTAAGGGACATAATATTTTTCTCTCAGGTTTTCTTTTCTGTGGGGAAATATACCTTTATAAATAGTGTTCTTATGGCTTATGTCTAGATGTCCCTCAGGGGCCTCATGTGCTCCTAGGTAGGCCTCTTGGAAGAAATTGGACCATGGGGGTGTTATAGCTAAATGCTTGGTCTGAAGAGGTGAGTCATGGGGCATGTGACCTAGAAGGGTGTATCTCCCTCCCAGCCCCTTCCTTTCCTCAGTTTCCTGGCTACCATGACATGAGAGCTTTCCTCCACTCAGACCCTTCCACCATGCTCTTCTGTGTTTAGGCCTGCAGAACATGAACTGAAACTTCTGAAACAAGAGCCAAAATCAATCTCTCCTCCTTTAAATTGCAGGTGTCAGGGATTCTGTTCCAGCAACGACGGGTAACTAAGGCATGTATTTTATTGAGGGAATAATTGTAGCTACGTTAAAAATTGTTCTCTTCAGTTGTCTTTTTCTGCAATTCATGCTCACTTTAAGATTTCCATGATTTACTTATTCATTATTATGGTGCTTGCTTTTTAAAAATGCCTGCCTCAAAAATAAGAACCAAGATGCATTATGTAAAGGTACAATTCCCAATGAGAAATGTAATTGTGTTGTATACCTACAATGTACCAATAAAAGAATTTAATACAAAAAAAAGAAAAAAAAATGCCTTTTCCCATTCACTCTGAATTATACCTGACCAAACTATTGTGCTAATCTTATTTCTGCAGTGTGTGTGTGTGTGTGTGTGTGCACGTACATGTGTAGTTCAAAGATTTCTCTCCCCATACAGTAGCTGATTGCTTTCTCCTACACCAAATAGTCACTAGATATTCTGTAAGGATTTGAAATTAAAAATAGAATTCTCTTTGAATATTTTTCTAACATATATTTGCATTGTTTCCCAGACATAAATAGGTAAATGATTCTATAAGAAAGTATAAAATTAAACCTACAATGTAAATAAATTAAGGGGAAAGATTTTTTTGGTGGTGGTGGTCGTGGTGGTGGTGGTGATACTAAAGACTGATCTCAGGAGCTTCACACTGAGCTATCAACCTTTTTTTTTTTTTTTTTTTTTTAATTTTTAGACAGGGTCTTGCAAAGTTACTAAGTTAGCCAGGCTGGGCTTGAACTTTTGATCCTCCTGCCTTAGAGTGCTGGGTTTACAGGCATGCACCACCACACCCATTTTAGAAAGACTTTTGTTAAATTTCAAGATTGTCTCAAGAGTTTTACTTCAAATGGCAGAGCTTCAGACACATTTAAACTTTAATTTAGGAGTAAGAAGTTAATGAAAATTTTAGTCATAATCATAGAAAAACTTCTGAGAAAATAGATTTGATTTACTAAAATGTTCAAATAATTTTGCTATAATAAACACAATACTTGAAATGCAGACATAATAAGATGGGAAAAAAACTAAGAAGGTAGATTAAGACCATGACCGAATCATTTGTTTTTCATCTAAAGAACCATGGTTTTTGTGTTAGGCTGAACCAGCATTTTCTGTTGGAGTATACCTGGTTCTCTGTGCAAGTGTTTCAAATTTAGGTAGAGGAGATACTTACATGTCAATCAATGCATTGATGTACAGACAGTCTTTATCTTGGTTTTATCTGGAAATGTTTGTTAATCCTTAACTCCTATATATTCTTCTCTCCAGGGTTTCACAACACTTCTGAAAATTTCTAGTTAAGATGTTGAGCTTTGCAAATATTTTATTCTCCACGTATTTTTTCTTTGTCTTTTTCTTACCAGAGACAAAGTAGGTGTGAATTTCCAGAAAACAAAAGGACTTTAAAATACTGAAATTTGTTAATTTAACATATACTTGAATGCATGCCTGGTATGTGCAAGAAATACTGGAGGATCAAAGACAGATGTGTTCCCACTCCTTTCATATGATGTGGGGCGGGGTGGGGGTAAAACATTACAGGGAGAAAAGTGTAACTTTATCAGGGAGGTGCATTCAATGAGTTACGACCTTTTGAGTACCTGACAGATAACAAGCCCTTGACTTCCAGGACATCTCGCCTCTGTGATCCTGCACTTAGCGTCCAGGATTAGCAGCACACTGACCCTTCATCAGCATCATTTAACATTCTCCGTGCTCCACGGTGGAGGAGAGGGGTTGACATTCAGGTTAAATGCATATACTCACTTCCACTTGCCTGAACAAACAAGTTTACTGTCTGGTGGAAAAGGCACTGTGGGGTTATAAAGAAGGGACATCTAAATAAGTTAAGGATTCTGAAAAGCCTTCCCAGGGAAGGTGACACTTGAGATTTGGAGAACGAGTGGATTTTAATTTTATTAGTAAGACTAAAGTGACTGAGTATTGATTTAGATATAAGCAGTTTAGTGAAACTGGTAGAGTAGAAATGGCACAGAATGGGGTAGAGAATTTTGGAAGGTGCTAGTAAGCTAAGAATGATTTGAATATTCTGAATCCCTGAAGAGTTTAAAGTGGAGTCTCACAAACAGATTTGAATTGTAAAAAGCCCTCTCTCTTTCTTTCTCATCCTCTCTCCCTCCCTCTCTTCTATCTGTCACTGGAGATGGTGTGGCAAATGAATCAAGAGTTGACTAGAGGTAGAGAGATCAACAGGGGCTTAGCATTTAGGACAGAACAAGCTAGCCTGGATCAAGTGAGTAGCAGTAAAATAAACTTGAAAGCAATATAGAACCTACTAAAGTTCTTTAAATAATTTTATATTTTAAAATAGGTATTTTTTTCCTAATTCATCATTTCAGAGATTACTACAATGGTAAACAAAATTATATACTCATTGTCTTACTGCCCCCCCATTATTACATTACATTATATTTAGACTTACATAAAGCTTCATCTGAAAGTCTTTTTTAAGTTATACTTAATATAATCTACTTAAATGATTATTTGTATCAGTTAGGATTATAGCTTTAAAAAACTGAAATAGCACAAGATTTTGAAAGTAAAGAAAAATCATCTATAATTCTACCAGCCTAAAATAGCAACTATTAGCAAATGTCATGTTTCCTTTTGTAAATGCTTTTTCCTCCCAGTACTAGGGATTGAACCTGGGGCCTTCAAACGACAGCATCCCCCCACACCCCACTTTTTTTTTTTAATTTTGAAATAGTCTTGCTAAATTGCCCAGACTGGGCTTGAATTTGTTACCCTCCTGCTTTAGCCTTCCAGAGTGCTGGGATTAAGTAAATGCTTTCTTAAAGCCATAGTAGTGATCATAGGTACTTAAAATTTTGTACCCTGTTTATCTGAAAACATTGTAAGTATTTACCTATGTTTATACATCGTTACATAGCCATCATTTTCAATGATTGCACATTATTCTATGAAGTAGATGGACTATACTTTAACTTTTCTATTGTTGGATTTTTTTCTTCTTTTGCATATATATACATACATATACACATACATCTCATTGTAATGAGCATCTTGTGTATATAATGTTTTACATGTATTAGGTTATTCTTTTTCACTGTAAGCCAAATTCTTGGATGTGAAATTGCCAAGACATAAGGTATGAACATGTTAAGGATACTTGATGTATATTACACCCACTTTCTGTTCATCACCCACAATTCTAAAAATATTACAATGAAAATTTTGACAAGGACAGATTTATGGACTTTAGTTACCTGTTGTCTTTGTATTACTGACTACCTACCACAGGAACACTGAGTTTCCTGGGGAGGGAAAAAAAAATCTAAAAGCTGTGAAAGGAGAAGTGCAGAGACTTAAAAAGGGGGGAAGGGGGGATTTTTGAATTAAGGAAAAACTGATAAGGGACAGAAAAAGGATTAGGCAAGCTGGTTGCAGTCAGCAACAGACAGTGAGATGTGACACAATAAAAACTGGGTCATTGAGTTGGGACAGCCCTAGGACATAAAGAGACTGAAATGAAGTAAAGCTCTGGATTACTTTGTTCTTGAATATTGAATTTTTTCAGAAGCATGGAGCATGAAATATTATCATGATAAGCCAAGATTGGAAACATAGCCAAGAAAAAGAGGTCTTTAAGGGATTGTTTAAAATGTGCTGAAAGAATAATTTGGTTTGGTCTTAAAACGGCTCAAAAAGTAAATTGACTTAAAGCTTTTGCATAGCAAAATAGGTATAGAGGCAGAAAACAAAAAGGCAAACAAAATAGTTTACCCAGTAAATTTTTTAGCATGTAAAATGTTAGCTTTTGATCATAGAAAAGGTTATCACAAGATTTAACTGTTGTATTTTATAAGTACAATTAACGTTAATTTGTTATGGGTATATATCTTTATTCTAGTTTTAAAAGACTGTTAACTTGGAGGTTTCAAATCAATAAAAAAATAAAACTAAATAGTATTCAGGCATTGTAAGAATCATTTTAAATACCCCCACCCCTGCCACTGTGTTTAAGCATTTAAAAACACTCAGGCCCTAGAAAAATCTGTTTAAATACAAATTAAACCACAAGGTTTAAATCTTGGTGTATAAATGGATTTATATCTTTCTGAAAATGAGGTTAGGCATCACTGTATAATCATTTAAATCAAAGTGAGGAAAGTATGCAACTTCTAAAAACAAGATACAAACCAGAGGATAGCATGGAGCATATATTCTATGAAAAACCAGGGACATTTA